TGGAAAGTGGTGCAACGAGCCCATGGAAAACCCGGTGAACAAGTTATTTAGATTTATTTTGTGAACGTTTTCAATTTTATTTTTTTAAAGTATTTGAATAACGTTGAACGCGAGAGCAAGTTGTGTTTTCTTTAAATAAATTACGTTTCGTTATTTTTTTTATTCAGTGTTTTATTTAAAGTATTCGAAAGGTTGTTGTTAAAATTATCGTTGTAAAAATTAAGCTTCCGCTAAAACATATTCTTCTATGACTAAACCACCGGTTAGTTAAGTAAAGTAAGTAGCGTTCCGGTCCACAAGGGGTCGGGGCGTTACACATGTTGCCTATGCCCATTTCTCTCCATTTTCTAATAATTCAAGAGGACATGTCAGCACATTTAAACCCCTGTCAATAGTGGTGGTAACTGACTTGTTAGCCTAGGTTTATTCAATTTTCGGAGTTGAGCTCAATAGTAGAATTAGTATATTTCACCAACAGACACCCAATTAGAGAGGGGTGCGAAAGGTTGAAGTGCCACAAATCAGTTTTTGAGCAAGTTATTGCTAACAAAAAAGCCCCAAGTACGGGGGACTGTTCATACAGGGAATTTACAGGTCCCTCACTGTAGCAGCGGACCCCACATGTTTTAAAAAAAAAACTATGCACGAGCCCCACCTATGTGTGTGCCTCAATAGTCCCCTGTGAAACTCTCCCTTGTACTTAAAGCATTTCTCTATTGCTAATGGATCCGGCTACTGGTACAGAAGAGTCTAACGAAGGGGCGGACAAAACGACGTGGAAATCAAATGACCTGGACGATGGAAACCGGCCCAATACCATTCCAAATACAATATTATCCATTTTCCCCCAAATCGTTGAAACCTACACTCGGTGATCCGTCATCTCCCCTGACTTCATCCATCTTCTCCAACTGCACTTAAGAACTCAATGCTCTCGACAGAGGAAGCTTGGTCCAGTTTTCTTGTTTTGCCAGTCATCAGCCATTCGCCTGGTATTCTTTCGTTTAAGTTCGCGACCACCGTGTTTGCTGTCGAAATCGATAGAAAACTTTTGGTAAGTATGATGTTTGATTTACACAGGGGTGTGAATGTTGTTGAGCATGATCACACTGAGAGGCATTTAGCAAAATTGAATTCAAATTTGATGTTTGCTAGTAATGTTATTCCCCGTTCCTTCATTTTCGACTTCGTTTCTTCATTGTTTTTTTTCCAATCCTGATGGTTCAAGTCAAAATGTCCACCCCTAGATTTCCAAATGGGAAGATACAAAAATCAAACCTTCTGCTTTTGGAATTAGGTCTACCTTTCAAAATTCTTCCAAGTGCTCATTTTGCTCGAGAAATCATTAATATTTCATGTTTGAGCTCTTAATTATCACTTCGAAGCAGCGAACTGCTCAAAGCCAAGTATATCATTATTTATCTAAATTTGATGCACTGTACATGTAGAGGCCTTCAAAATGGTAATTTTGTTTTGGTTTGTTCATTTGTTCAACGAACTGAGGTTGTGATGTACATTTGTAGCATGAAATTGTGAGATTGAACTGAGGCTCTATTCATTTGTTCGTTGGACTGAGGCTATGATGTACATTTGTAATATGGAATTTGTGAGATCCAACTGACGCTGTCTTTTTTACTTTGTAATATGAAATTTGTGAAATTCAAGTGATGTTATGATGTTCATTGTTTTGTAATTTTTGTTTTGTTTTGTTCATTTGTTCATTCTCTCTTCATAGTTGAATGGCAGCTTGCAATGGGCGGGCAAAATCATGGAGTATGTCATAGTTGTAGGCATAGCGGTCACTTCTTCGTAGATTGCCCAAACAAACGACCATGTCTATCATGCAAACATTCATTTGTGACGTGTTTTAAGGTGGAGAAGGATACGAAGAACAAAGGGAAATGGTTCAGTTGTTGCAGCGCCAACTGTGGGTATTGGGCGTGGGTTAAAGTAGGAGAAACGGGCGGTGAATCAAAGAATGTCTGCAGTACATCTACTATGCCTTCGACCAACAAATTAGATGAAGATATATCTGGGGTGTTCGAAACCATGTGTCGCCTAAACTAGGAGAAAGATGTGGATATTTCCGTGAATGTGACAATACGTAAAGGAAAGGCTGTTGCGGAGGGGAATAAGAAGTGTAAAGGGTGGGCTTACTTTTGTTGTTGTTGATGTGTTTGCCTAACATTTTTCATGTTTGGATTCTGTAATGGCATGCCTAACATTTTGTTACTTAGTTTATGTGATCAATGTAATTGGATGTCTGTCATTTGGTTATTTAGCTTAGTGGTGAATGTAACGGGATGTTACTTGGACTATCGTTTTGTTTATGAAATTGTGTTCAGAAGGTGCCATTTTTATTTATTTCAGTTTTCATTAGACATTGTGTTTCATGTACGACCATCAAAATTATAGGCCAAAGAAGGCTGAAGTTTGTGCAGACCATGACCTTGCTTCACCTTCACATCATCCTTTATTGCATTAATCCAGTGGAATCTGTCGAGTGACATCGAGTATACATTACCAAACATGCCACAAGCATCTTCAATGAATTTATGCTACTGTAGAAGCATATCAGGGTAACTACAACCAGTGTTTTCCTTTTTAAAGGCCATGTCCAACAGTGACAGGGTAAATTTTAACTTGTATGGTAACTAAACCATAAAAAGGCAGGAAATCATAATAATTAAATGGTCATAATGAACTACAAAAGCTTTCAAAAATGATATATTGCCCTGAAATCAGCTTTCAATTATCTCTACACGCGATTTCAATCACAGAACTTCTTGATTAGGTCTGAAAAGGAGAAAAAAGCACCACCCTCTCCCATAAATGCTGCAAGTTGCATTAATGATTGTGAAGCAGCCCACATTTTCTCTCATGGTGGTCTACGGGAGAACACATGCAACGATACCTAGACCATGATCGGAGATTCATTAGCATTGATATTATCTTAAAAGGAAGAGTAAAAACTTTCAGTAATGACATTCTTGCTCAACACTCTGCCTTGAATAATCTCTAAATGTCGTACTCAAACTGCACAACTGCTGGGCACAATAGAAGAGAACTACACTGATCTCTCCCACGAACATGGTTACAACAAGGTTCAGAAATGATCCTCCCTCTCTGTCAAGCTGAATGGACCACAAAAGCATTTATATATTCACTTTTTACATAGATAATCACCGTGTTTCAATATACCTCGTAATAAGTAGATTGTGACAAACAAAAAATCTGATCATCATATATCATTGGCTAAAAAATGAAAATCTTCAAATGCTTCCAGGAATGATCCTTGAAAATCTACCTTCAATGATCTCTACACACCATAATCAGATTATAACAGCCACCATGGCCCAAAAAGACGACAAAATAACCATTCTCTCTTAGAATAACTGAGGATTAAGACAGCGACACCAAAAGATCATAGCTTTTCCATTAACCATATGTCCCTTTACATTGCATTCACCATAAACAAACAACTTCAACTCCAGACGAACCCATCTTAGGTCCGCATTAACTAGACCATAATAAAACAGGAAACAGAATCGGTACATATCATTGTCTAAAAAGAACTTGAAAAGCTTCCAAGAATGACATTTTTGCTAGACAATCAACATTGATTTGCATGCCACGTCAAACAAAGTTTAGGCAACCGAGTCCAGAAATTGCAATGCGCTAACTGTAGGCCGTGGCTCGATTTCAAGGATTTCTGCCTTCTCGATCGCATCCATAAGGAAAGCCATAGGCCGTGGCTCAAAATCCTACGATGTACTAACATTATTAGTCAAACACGGAAGATTCAATTCATGGGGAAAACATGCTTTAAAGCATGAAGTACCTTCAGCACTGAGCATGCTTTGATCGGCAGTTCCGGAGACAAAGTTGGAGGACTGTAATTACTGTTTAGATGGAATGCTTTGGTTGTCACCCTGTATGAGAAATCAACCTTCATTAGACTACATATGTATTGAGAGAAGTTAATCATATGAATATGCTTGCCATTAATAGTTGCGAAAATGAGAATGGCATGTGCGGATTATATGGTGCTTGTTGAGGCGGTTGAATGATACTTGCACCATTCCCCATTTTACTTGTACGTGACTTCGATCTTCTTCCTTTGTTTGTAGATGAACTTCCCTACATGATGTCGTAAGTTAATAAATAGGTGCTCGAAATTTAACATTATTTGTAACAAAACTTCTGAACACACCTTTGCCGTAGTTTCCAATGGGCTCTTTTTTCGAAGTTTCCTAGGCGCGCCCTCTCTTCACAGATTTTGGATCCTTCAAAATGGTGTTACTACTATCGTGTGATGCTCCACACTGATGATCTGTCTGGGTTATGTGCGAGGGAATGACATTGCTCCCACAACTTGATTTCAAAGTCATTATCTGATTACACTGCTGTTCAATCCACTCCAGTAGAGATGTAGCTCAGACGACATCATCAGCAGACAGGTTTGCCCACCTCGCAAAAGACTGACACAATTTCTCTTACATAAACTATCCAGGAGTACTACCGAGTCCATCGTAATTCACCGCAACCCTAGTGTGGGCCCTTTGCACATCTCTCCGCCACCTTCGTAAGATATATTTGTCAGGCAGTGATTTCACATCATTTCGGACCAACACTGCAATAGCATGCCTACATAGTATACCCCGGAACTCAAATAGGTGGCAACTGCAAGTAATATCATATGTTTCTTACCGGAAAGAGACGAGTAATGTTTTTTTCCTTGACTGTTCATCGTGTATGGCATCCTCACGTACCTCGTATGTCGTCCCAAAACACCCATCAGAAACAGATATGACATCGCAATAAACCTTCCCAATAAACTCCTGAACTTTCCTAAATTTTGAAATTGTGTATATTGCCTGAAATTGCTTCTCCATTTCATATCTTGTCGCACATGGAACCATTTGCGAGTACGACTTAAAATTTGCCTGTAACTACTTCTCCACTTTATTTTGCAATGCTCTTTCATACTGTTCAACAAATTACTTTAGCGATGTCTTTACATGCACAAACCCATCAAAGAACGCATTTATACCCTCACTTTTTTGGGTTGTTGACATCCCCGCCCAGAACGTGGCCTTCAGATAGCAAGGAACCCAACGACATCTGTTATCATACAGACCCGATAACCAATCGTTATCATGTAATTCGAACTTCTCAATCATCGCTTTCCAACCATCATCAAATTGCTCAACAAATTGGGAATCATAAACCAGTCCATGTATAGTATGAAATATAGAACCCTTGTGAACGTGATAACCAAACTTTTTTGGCAACTTCTTCAATATATGCCACAGACGCCATCTGTGATTTGTATCCGGGAAAACGATCTCAATTGTACTTTGCATGGCCTTGTCCTGATCCGTAATTATCCTATGCGACGCCTGACCGTGCATGCACTGCAGCCATGTTCTAAACAGCCACACAAATGTATTTATATCCTCACCGGACAACAAACCACACCCAAGTAGAGTTGATTGTCCGTGATGGTTCACTCCAACGAAAGGCGTAAAAGGCATATCATATTTATTAGTCAAATAGGTGGTATCGAAGGTCACAACATCGCCAAACTCTTTATATGCTTGCCTACTCCGTCTGCCCAAAACACATTTCTTAGTCTTGACTTATCGTCCAAATCAATACTGAAGTAAAACCCTGAGCAACTTGCTTGCATTTTTGAAAAATACTATTGTATTACTATGGCGTCGCCTTTTCCAAGCCTTAATCGCTGAACTTGTTCTACATAGTTTCGGCAATCCTTTTCCACGAAACTCACTTTCTTGTATCCACCTGCTTCTACCACCACAGAGTTATAGCTTTTGTGCAATGGAATTTCTACAATGTCATTTACTTCAAGGCGCCGTTTGACTTGTGCACTCAATTCTCGATTGCAGCAATACATTCTAGACTTTGTGGGGCTTGTTCTATGATTATGCTTGAGGTTCACTGTGTTAATTTTCCAAACTCCATGACTATCTGCAGATGCGGTTAACCTAGCTTTACAACCTATCAGGATAGTTGCTTGTGGCCTCAATGAACCAACTGTAGTATTGCTTCTTTTCCCCTCGCGACTATACGTCAAAGTAATATATCGCACAACCCCATCGTCATCCTTATTCGAATTTCTTGTTCTCACTGGAAAACCTACCTTGTATGCATATTTTTTGTAAAAATTGAACAATTCCTTTTCATGTTTGAATTTCATACCCACTTCAGGAACAATTGCACCATCCCCGCCAACGATTTCATCACCACCCAATAAGTTCGGTTCCTCCATAACATTCTCTTTATCCGATTCTACCAAAGTAATGTCGTCTATCGCTTGTGAACTTTCATCCCCTACGACAAGATACGAAGTACACATCAAAAGCAGAAAACCAAATTTCGACTTTGAACCAACATTTACAATTCACTCAGAACATTAAATTAAGTGGTCATTGAAATCGTAGTGGTATGCACATACTAGAAAAAACATCGGTTTCCCTAACATTTCAGCTATAATAAGCACAAAATTTAGATTATTTGATCACCAAACTTAAATGGTCACTGCACTGAAATGGTCACTGAACTTAAACACTAGTCTACACATACCATACAGATAACAATTTTGCCTAACACTTCAGCTAAATTGATCGACACATTACATTTCAATCATCATCATAAACTGCAAAATCGTCCAGATAATGAGCAAAATGAACTTACCATTTTCTATCACCATTTCCCCCCAGATAATGAGCAACGTCCAAAGTTGCCGACAACGAAAGGGGCCGGTGCAAGTCCAGTGTCTGAGAGTATACGACGGTGTTGCGGTGGAAAATGGGGAGAATTACGCTGTCCAGAAACAATGTACTAGTTTGGGGAAAAATCGGCCAATTTTCATGAAATCTTTTGCCGGTTGAGCGGTGGAAATTCTGTCCCCTTTTTGTCTTAGTATATGACGGTCGAGCGGTGAAAATTCTGGAGATAATGGGTCGGTCGATTGTTGTCAAGAAGTCATGGAAAACTTGGGGGAAAAGGGGCTGAAAATGGCGCCTATGATTGTTGTCAACAAGTCATGGAAAACTTGGGGGAAAACAGGCTGAAAGTGGCGCCTAAAATGAATGAATCTTGTCCCTTTTCCCTCTCTCTCGTTTTCACCATCTTTTTTAAAAACGAGAAAAGCCACGTAAGAAAAACCACTTCGTTCTGTCAACAGTAGTGTCAAGCTAAAATGTACAAATAGCTTTTTCCATTGCTAATTGAGTGAATTTCCCATTTCAAAAGGTTTGATTGTTTTCTTTGTTGGTGGGGGGGGGGGGGAGAAAATAAAAAGGAATAAAGAAAAAAGAATACAAAAGTTTGATTGTTTTCTAGGGGGAAAAAAAGAATACAAAAAGAAGCCCAATATTGAAAATACACTCACTAAATGGGCTTGTGGTCCAGGTCAGCAAGGCCCATATGCATTGAAATTGGTTCATTCATGATTCAACCTAATAATCACTAGTGAAACCTAAACTTGTTACTTTACCATATTTAATTAATTCTAATGGTATAAGTGGGTTAGATATATCTCATTAGCTTAATAGGATAATCACTCTATGTATATAAAATGTACTAATTCTTGAGTAGACGTCTAAATTTGGTTCATAATCTTAGTCTAGATTCTTATAAACATAATTAAAGATATCCCAGTTGTTTATTCAATTAAAAAAATAAAAAAATGGACAAGTTATAATAAAGTCATACAAAATGTCCAATTAACAAATTCTCAATTCAGGCGACGCGTTGGTATACGCTAAGGTGCATTGTGTACATATAAGAAAATATTATTCAAATTTTAATAGTCAACTTAGAACAGGAAAAAAATATGACCACTAAACTTTTCAAAGTTGCATGTAATTTTGACCCTTTGTGTAATCAAGCATCACAAAAGTAATCTTCCCACTGCAACGACCGCCACCATTGCAATGACCACCAACAATACTTAATAATTGTCTCTATTGAAAATTTGTTAATTTGATTATTATAATGTTCAATAATCTATATGTTTAATCTCCAATTTTGAAAAATTGCGATTGTGTAAATTTATTACCATATTAGTTAATTTGATGTAGAAAAGAATGAATGAGTACTAGAAAAGATTTGAGGTGTCTATCACTTAGATTGTGTCAGTCTGTCAAATGTTAAATTGATTGAGTATAAATCCTTCTAACTTGACCAACTCAACAAAATAATCAAAAAATTGGTCGAAATAAAGGTGCATAGTAGAGGATGAAAAAAATAAAAACAATATATATATATATGGATTATTCTATTGGTATTTAAAGGGATACCACAGGCACCCCTTCAATAGGGGGGCGTCGGGTATCCATTATGAACACCCTTCAATACATGGTAATGAACCACTAGAATATATATATATATATATATAATTTTTACAGTGCCTATTTATTTACACAAAAATGAAAATAAAATGTATACTTCGATTGGATAAGTTGTCGTCACAATTTTTTTATCATCTCAATTATTTATCGAACCATTTTGTCACACTCTCATCAACTTTTTATTACACTCTCATCAACTTTTTATTAACCAGCACACCTTTTTTCTGGTGGTGGATTCCATCCAAAAAGTCTTTGAGAAGGACATAAAAAAATTTATTCGTCTATCGTATTTTTTTTTACTTATTCTGTCATATTCTCAACCTATTCAAGTCAGAAGACGCCATGATCCGTTTGAACAGTAAGGGTCCTATTTTATTGTTTAAATTTGTTGGTGTTAAGCAAGTGTAATTGAGATATTCAAATATTGATTCTTGAAATTTAAAAAAAAAAATACACACACATATATATAACTGTGTAAACAAACTTATTTTCAACAAATTGAAAGTCTGAAAGTAACCAGCAAGAGATAGACGAACTATCAGTCATGGTCGTGGATGTGAATTTAGAAAGCAATTCTGAATTCATTTTAATTAATTTGATTCATATATCCTTTTCCGTCATTGATAATAACTATTAAAATATTCAAAGATTTTTTACATTCGTGATTTTGAACACATGCTAAAGAGATTGTCAACACGAGTATCTCATGTCTTACAAATGCAAGTTAATATTTGCTTAATTTATTCGCCATCAATGTTATCTTCACTTATCTATTTTTCTATGTGCACACAGCTGAACATTCTCAATTGAGATTCAAATTAGGGAATAAAAGGCAATAAAAATAAATAAATAAACAGTTTCTATTAATGGAGGTTTGGCTAATAAAATAAGAGGCGTGATTGAACCAAAAGTCATATTTCATTTGCTTTGTTTTCAAGGTCAGGCCTCTCGCCTTTTTCCTTTCGAGGGTACCTTTTACATCATATAAAAGCTGCTGATTTCTTACAATCACCAAGGAATTGTCCAAAACAAAACTTGTTGGTGAAAACAAAGCAGATACAACTATAACTCTGCTGGTGCTGTCACTTTCCTTAATCCAACCAACACACCTACTTACTTCATATACATGCCATTTCCGAACCATCTATACGAATTCCGTCGTCCCAACATTGATATCGCGATGGACGAGTACTCGTCATCCATTCCAATTAGGGAAACAGCAGGCAGAATTATTAGAAGATCAATCTTTACTTTTCTGCAGAAATATCAGTACTTCACCTCAACTGCAGCACTTCTTGCATTCCCATTCGCTGCCTCGACTCTCCTATCACAAGCTTTCCTCCCCTCATCTGTCGTTCTTGCACTCATTCAACGTCGTTTTAGATCCCTTTTTCTAGCTGCTGGTTTTCCTCCCTCATCAGAATTGTTCGCAATTCTCAATCTTAAGCTCTCTCAAACTATTGTTACATATTTTCTTGTTCTTCCGTTCTCCCTTTCCTTTCTCCTACTTGCTAAGGCGTACATAATCAAATCGTTGAGCAATCGTAAACCTGCAGGAGAAACTCCATTTTCATCTTGGATTACACAATACAAGTCGCTTTTCCAAACTCAAATTTGCAGCTCATTAGTCATCCTTTCAGTAAATGCTACTTGCTTCTCTCTTCTTCTTTTCGCTATCAACTGTTTCGATGTTCTAGGAATATCTGCTCCGGAAGCCTTGCTATTCGTTTCATCGGTGGGAGCTGTTGTCTATTCGATCATTCTTGCCAATGCCTACATTATATGCAACATGGCATTGGTGTTGTCAGGAATGGAGAATCGTGGGGGCTATCTTGCGATTCTCAAGGCTTGTGTACTGATCCAGGGTCGATCTTCAACAGCGATGTCATTAGCCGTGGTAATCAATATAGCCTTGGCTACTATTGAGGCTTTGTTTCAATACAGAATTGTGAAGGCATATCGTCGAGCAGCCTCTCCCAATTCATCCATGGCTCTCGAGGGGCTGTTTATTGGATACTTATATGGCATTCTTCTTGTAATCGATACTATTGTTGGATGCATATTCTTCAAGAGTTGCAGAACTTTCAAGAGTGGTCAAGAGGATTGGAACTCTGTTCAAATACCAATTGAAGATGCAAGTTTAAATACTTTAAAAGAGGTTCCATGAAAGTTTCTTTCTTTTTTTGAGCTGAATTAGTTACAGGATTTTCTCCCTTTGATTTCATTGACATAAATTCAAAATAATAAAATAGAGATAGGTTGGTTCTTCAAAAACCACTGAAGTACTTCAGAAGCTAGAGAGACAATAGATTCAGACGTTTGTCCAACTTACAAGCAAATGTATTGTCTGGCAATTGGTGTGCCCAAGTTTCCCATGATTGTTAGTATAATGACATTTGCAGGCATAGAAAGATAAATTTTAGAATTAAATGTCGAAGACAATATTTAAATAATCACTTTACAAGCTGTTAGACAACTGATCAAGGTGGTATACAAGAAAATCAAAATAATATATCCAACAAGATTATTGTAATGCACATCAATTTCTAGGAACGAGATAGGTACACACAACAAAATATTCAAGAGAGACAATTATTTTCCCCTTAATAAATGAAAATATTCAAATACTTTCTAAAAATAGAATCTAAAGAACAAACAAGAATTTCTAAACCTAGAACCCTATATTTTGATGACAAAACTATTTCACTGACAGAGCTAATCTTCTATTTCTATATCATCTCTAATCCTGACCTCTCTCAATGGTTGGCTCCTAAGGGGAATCAGTTTATATGTTACAACAAAAAGAATAACCTTTAATCTGGATACAGTGTTACATCTCTGTACAGGCTTCATAATACAGTATGGTAATTCACTTTACAGTTACAACGGGCACCCTCTTGGAAAACGTTGGCTTCATCCAATGAATGCACAAATCCTTCTGAATTCATACGTTACTCTTCTTCGGCTTCCACATGGCCAAGTATCAGTCTTGAGATTGTGAAAACCCCCACGGTCAGCTGATGACAAAGATCAGTAATCTGCATTGTCCACCTGGCCGAAAAGCACCATATCCATTTCTCAGCGTACCCTTCACCAAACTTCGGGTTTTGCGAAAATCTCGAAAGCTAGTGCTTTCAGTTTCCTTTCTTATATTCCCATAAAAACTGAACAATTCACGTCAAATCTGGAGGACCATAGTCCGTCAATAGTGACCATGTTAAACAACTTCTTCCTGTGAAATATTGAAATTGTTCATTTCACACCCTTCTTTGTTAAATTAATTCCCTTCGCAATCTCCATTTCGGCTTCCTTTTGAGCTTTCTTCTTTTCTAGTTCAGCCTGTTTGGAGTTCTCTTCATGAGCTTTGCAAAACATCCTCACGAAATTCAAGAGGGTAGCAACAACTGCAAAAATTGTAGATATTAAAAACGGAAATCTGAATAGTCAACATCTCACAGGAAAGGAAAAACGAATTTTAAAATTACCTTGCTCAAATGGGCAGCGGGCAGGATCCTCACCAAAATATAGTGCCAATGCATCCGCATTTCTTCCCTGCCCAATTGCAACAATGAAATAAAAAAATGTTTTCATGGGAAATAACTTAGGGTTCCATATGATGTACTGAAGTCGGTGAGTTGAAATTTACCGCAACAGAATATAAGTTTGTTACTGATGCAACCTCAGTCTCAGCAGCCCCAACGAACTCCTTTAATGTCTGTGAATGAGAGGAAAAGTGGAAGGTGTTACAATACAAATAAAATGCCCTAAAAATATTGTGATTGGATGAGAAAAAGGGATGGGAAAAGTAATGTTCAAAATAATCACTTGAAAAATTTGTTCAACATGAATAAACAGAACACAAACGTGTAAAAATTTGGAGTAATGCTATTAAGCACCAGTTTGAGTCAGAGGGTCGCTGCCACATTATCCAACGAAGTTGGAATGCATTTTTATTCATTTTACACTATGGCAATGAACCCACTGCGCATAGACAGGTGCTAAACAGTATTATTCAAAAAATTGATCCACTCCTAGTTTGGTCAAGAAATTACATTGTGGCATAAAAAAAAATACATCAGTAGAATTAACGAAGTAGAGACAGAGAACTTTGTCGCATAAAATAAAGATGATATACCTCATATATATCAGTAGAATTAATGAAGTAGAGACACAGAATGGACATCAATAATACCTTGCGAAAAGTTTCAGATACAGGGCCATCATTCTCGGAACCAGCCAATTCCTGCTTTACTTTCTCCAATCCTTTCATAATGGCTTGCATTTCTTCTGCTAATGATTTCAATTGTATCTGCAGAACAAGCCATTACTATCCAATTCTAGCTATTGTGAGCAAACGCATCATTCACAAGAATATAAAGTACAAACCTTTGAAGCAGCTTCCAGGCTAACAAGATCTTTATGGAAGTCCAAAAGAGCCGATGACTTAGAGGCAAGCACCTTAAAAAAAAAATAAAAAAATAAAAAAAAACCAGTGATACCCTCAGAATTACAAAACAATGACCATATTTAATTTTATTTAGTCATTAGGTTCACATAAAGCACAAAATTTTTAGACCATCAGTCCATAAAAACAAGGTACACATTATGTGCCATAACTAGATAGCAGGCATGCCCAAGCCATTCCGACTTAGTTATTAGGATACGGTCAGCTGATGACAAAGATCAATAATCTGCATTGTCCACCTGGCCGAAAAGCACCATATCCATTTCTCAGCGTACCCTTCACCAAACTTCGGGTTTTGCGAAAATCTCGAAAGCTAGTGCTTTCAGTTTCCTTTCTTATATTCCCATAAAAACTGAACAATTCACGTCAAATCTGGAGGACCATAGTCCGTCAATAGTGACCATGTTAAACAACTTCTTCCTGTGAAATATTGAAATTGTTCATTTCACACCCTTCTTTGTTAAATTAATTCCCTTCGCAATCTCCATTTCGGCTTCCTTTTGAGCTTTCTTCTTTTCTAGTTCAGCCTGTTTGGAGTTCTCTTCATGAGCTTTGCAAAACATCCTCACGAAATTCAAGAGGGTGGCAACAACTGCAAAAATTGTAGATATTAAAAACGGAAATCTGAATAGTCAACATCTCACAGGAAAGGAAAAACGAATTTTAAAATTACCTTGCTCAAATGGGCAGCGGGCAGGATCCTCACCAAAATATAGTGCCAATGCATCCGCATTTCTTCCCTGCCCAATTGCAACAATGAAATAAAAAAATGTTTTCATGGGAAATAACTTAGGGTTCCATATGATGTACTGAAGTCGGTGAGTTGAAATTTACCGCAACAGAATATAAGTTTGTTACTGATGCAACCTCAGTCTCAGCAGCCCCAACGAACTCCTTTAATGTCTGTGAATGAGAGGAAAAGTGGAAGGTGTTACAATACAAATAAAATGCCCTAAAAATATTGTGATTGGATGAGAAAAAGGGATGGGAAAAGTAATGTTCAAAATAATCACTTGAAAAATTTGTTCAACATGAATAAACAGAACACAAACGTGTAAAAATTTGGAGTAATGCTATTAAGCACCAGTTTGAGTCAGAGGGTCGCTGCCACATTATCCAACGAAGTTGGAATGCATTTTTATTCATTTTACACTATGGCAATGAACCCACTGCGCATAGACAGGTACTAAACAGTATTATTCAAAAAATTGATCCACTCCTAGTTTGGTCAAGAAATTACATTGTGGCATAAAAAAAAATACATCAGTAGAATTAACGAAGTAGAGACAGAGAACTTTGTCGCATAAAATAAAGATGATATACCTCATATATATCAGTAGAATTAATGAAGTAGAGACACAGAATGGACATCAATAATACCTTGCGAAAAGTTTCAGATACAGGGCCATCATTCTCGGAACCAGCCAATTCCTGCTTTACTTTCTCCAATCCTTTCATAATGGCTTGCATTTCTTCTGCTAATGATTTCAATTGTATCTGCAGAACAAGCCATTACTATCCAATTCTAGCTATTGTGAGCAAACGCATCATTCACAAGAATATAAAGTACAAACCTTTGAAGCAGCTTCCAGGCTAACAAGATCTTTATGGAAGTCCAAAAGAGCCGATGACTTAGAGGCAAGCACCTTAAAAAAAAAATAAAATAAAATAAAAAAACCAGTGATACCCTCAGAATTACAAAACAAAGACCATATTTAATTTTATTTAGTCATTAGGTTCACATAAAGCACAAAATTTTTAGACCATCAGTCCATAAAAACAAGGTACACATTATGTGCCATAACTAGATAGCAGGCATGCCCAAGCCATTCCGACTTAGTTATTAGGATGCTTCAGGCCACCTACAGAAAAGGCAAGGAAAACACATATAGGAGATAACTTTGCACTTGGAAGAAGAAATGCATATATGTATGATAATGAAGGAATGTCTTAGTCATGCATGTCCATCACCTTTCTTATTTTCAGACAACTAATGCTTTATTTAGCTGCTAAAGGAATAAAAGATACTCATTAGTAAACATGCATCTTCATTTATGTGCATGTATCTGAGAGGAATATTGAGCTCTTATGATCATGACAAAGGTTAGGAGGTGCACTATATAGTTATTTGAAATCGGTGCACCTTCACTCAACCTACCAGAATTGTAGAGAATGCAAAACAAATGCCAAAAGGAAGTAAATATTCACCTCTTAAATATTCATTAAAGATTTAAATGATATTCATGTTACGCCACTCCTCCCCCACCCTTCAAAATAGCTTTAACTTACAAATCAAGTGATTCAACACGGTATCAAAGTCAAGTGAAAGATTAGGGTTAAAGTCTCATCATCACTCATTTAATGAAATTGTGCATGTCCAACTTCAATGGGAAAATTGAACCAGCCTACATGTGATGGGGCATGTTAATTGATGAGTGTCTACACACACACACACACATATATAAGCTTTTAAATCAAGTGGTTCCACATCCTTCCCTGTATAACCCCAAAAAAAAAAAAAAAAACTTCACATATACACACATCGTGACAAATTACTTGTATGAGACTCAAAATTCGTGTTCATTCCTTCTCAAACTACCGATGATAAGAATATTGATTCAAGCAACATAGGCATTTCCCTCTTTCACACTTGAAAATTAAATATTTCCATGGTGCACTTATCAAGAAATAGTCCTGTCATAAGATTCACCAACAGAACCAAAAAATCATAATTTCAGTTGGTTTAGATAAATTTACCATGTAAACCTTTGAAGTGATGATGTCAGACGAGATAAAGATGAAGTGCTAGGGAACAAATAATAGGATTAATTTTTTCTTATAAAATAGTAAATGGACTAGAAATTAGAAAAGAACCTAACTATGGTATTGAGGTATATGTGGTAAAAAACAGCTTGTGTAGAATATTGGAACAACGAGATTTATCTTAATTTTGAATGTCAAAGGATTTCATGGGATTTCACTCATGATAGTTAGAAACTCAGAAAAGGACAATATATATATCATCAAGATTGTAGTTCCATCAAAAAATTATTTCACACAATTTCAATTTCCAATCGAGGAGCAATTCTCATTAACTATTTCGTGTTACTTCCTTAACCCCCTTAATTGAAGACATCATTAGTCAATTCCCATTCAATAAAACGCTTTACTCAAAACTTGAGAATTAGAATCCATTTCCAATGTCAGTTCCAAATGCAAAACCCATTAAATTCTTCTAAAAAGAAATAAAAAGATGCCAAAATAGGATTTTTTATAACTTGACCAGGGAGAACCTGACTGCCTCAACTGTAAGTTCAAGAAACAGAATGACAAAAAAACATCATAACGTAAGAATTATCATAAAAGAATATATGTTGACATGTAAGCAGCTTTACTGAGAGCGTAAAACATTTTTTATTTTGTCCTTTTAGCAAATAGCTTCAGCATTGTCCTAAAATTATTGTAAATTCTCGATATAAATTTAGACAGTAACTTTTATTGATAAAGTACAAAAGAGCATAACCTTACAACATTTTTGCCATAATTCTTCTAAATATAGATGCATATTAACAATATTCTTATAATACTTGTAAAGAAGTTTCTGGGTCATGCAAATTAAAATTCTAGCCTTCATCGGGGAAGAGTTTATAATCGGTTCATTTATAAATAGATAGAAATGAACTATAAATAAGTGGATAGTACTTGTGGGTCATTGGAATGTGTTATTGACAATGAAGTTTGACCATATAAAAATAATTTATAAATTTTGCCGAAAAAAGGCTTAGATAATTTTTTATGAGCAACGGGATTTTACTACAATACTCAGATATTCTTCTCTCTCCCCTCTTGCAGATTGGGGTTGGGGTGTGAGATCCTTTTGTTCCATAAGATATCAAAGTGATCGACCCATTCCATGTTAAAAGTAAGTGCGAAATACCATTGATAATACAGATTCAAAGCGAATTTCTCACTATCTTTCTGCAATAAAATGCCTTGGACCTGCAAATAATTCTAGTTGAATAACCCCCAATGGTTTGATGATCTGAAATTTACACCAACCCCCCACCCCCTTATTGTAAACTAATATCTATAATCCAAATCTGGACATAATGTCTAGGGTTTATAACCACAAACCACAAGGAGGTTATCAGGATATTCCAAAGTCCAAATACAGCAGACTATAATTAGCTTTCTGAGAGGAACTTGTCATTCAAACCCATAGTGTAGCGCAACTTGATCAAATGATACCAACCACTACACAAGTAAGATATCCAACTTGATGTAGGACAATCCCATTCCAAAAAGGATTTCTTGTTGTAATAGGGTTTATCTCTTTTTCTTCGTCTTTCTTGTTGTTTAGAATAGTATTTCTTTTTCTTTATTGATTAGATCTCTTAGATTAGGATTTTGCTTTCTTTTGGGATTTTAGTTTTCATACCTTCTAGGATTTCAATTTTCTTTCCTTTTAGAATTTTTAGTATAGTTTCCTTATATTGGTAGGATTAGGGAATTATTTTGCCTAGGCTTTGTATACTTTACAATTAACCAATTCATTATAATCAAATCATTCTCTACATATTTATTTTCGAGTCTTTCAACTCTATTCTTATTTCAAGAATTTCAATTCCGTTTTCGCACCACAACTTCTCGCAAACAAATTTTTTAGAGACATATTAACAATAATCACTAACAAGCGCATCTATTTCATGGCATGAAAAATCACTTCTTTTCTGCATGGAAGTAAATTGAAAGAATAATCAACTCTGATCATGCAGCGGTAACTCATTTTAGCTTATTTCCGCAACTCTTTAAAAGTAAACACAATATGCAACAACCCAACCTAGTACATATTTGAAGTGAAAACAGCTTATGCATATATTTCAAAACTTGCCCTCCTGCATACAGACTCTTCATTGTACAATTTCAACACACTCTTGATTAATCTAGTGTTCCTGATATCTGATGCAAAAGATAGTTTCAAGGAGAGTGAAAAACTAAATAAATAACTAGATAGGAAGAAAGAAAGAAAGAAAGCACTGAATCCAGAGACTAACCACAGTTTTTTTCAGTGTCTGAAAATTCAACTTAAAGAAAGCTTCTGAACATTAATGTACTTACCCCTGGCAGTTCCCTGATTTAATGTGTTCCCAAGAAGTAAAATTTTCTTCATTATTTCTTTCAGTTTGAGGGATTTCCGAACCTAATTCGTAAGTTACAAAATAGGTTATATCAAGATTAAAAGTTTCAATAAATAAAAATTCACTAGAATTTGTATGTACCTCTTCACAAGCAGAATTCAGAGTGTTCAAGCTTTTCTTAAAATCCGAAACCTAAGATGGAAGCTAGATTTAGAGGCATGAGGAATCAAATTCATGTTCAAAAAAATTCTCGCCCTTATAGCAGACCTGAGAATTGAATTGAATCTTGAATAAGAAAACCCTTAATTTTGACTCCACCCGTGGCACCTTCATCAGCTCCAAAAAGAACTGAAACATAGAAATAGATATAAGAATTCTTATATGAACATTACAACTCGTTAAGTATTAATGAGAAGAATGGTTGAAAGATAGCTCAATATGAGAGGAAATAATATAAAATCGATGCTATTAAGAATTAAAAACCCATCATTTTACTTCAGTGAAACCTGTAAACAGCTTAAACAATTTTTAATTCGCTCATAATCTCTATCAAGTGCATTTCAACTTTCACATGAGAATTAAGCTTATTACCAATTCAAAATATGGTGATGATTTCAGCTCAACTATTTACGTCCCTTTAACCATCATAAAGTGCATGACTGTGTGTAAACGTAGACACACACACGCACACGTACACATACATATGTCCTCACAATTGTCTTCGAAGGGATCACATAGCATCAGAAACCACTAAATGAAATGTCAATATCTGCTAATTTTCGATGAAACTTCCCAAAGCCACATATTAATATCTTGCATGTGTTAATTTTATAGGTATTATGTACTTCGTCACACACCATTCAAACCCGTTTGATGCAAGATACGCTAAATATGAACAGCAAGAGGCATCTATATTCAACTAACAAATACATTTAAGACTAAAACTAAGTGAAATAATTCAAGATGTCCAAACCTTCAAGCCTTTACGCACTTGCACATCTTGAATCTAAACTCTAAAGCAATGAAAGTTGCACTCATCAAAAAGAAAAAGATAGTGTCTTCTAATATATTAGCAAGCAATCACCTAAATTTAACACCATTCACAAGCTGGCAGCTAATGTACTCGCATTTCGGTAGACCAACATGTATGTCATGTTCATATTCATAAACTCAACTAGAAACGGCCCAGACTCTGTCTAATCAGCTTTCCCAGCATTGAACTAAAATTTCAGGAGAAGGAAGACCTTTATTATTCCTAATGACAACAGTGTCCTTTAGGAGCAGGAAGATGGAGCTTGATACCAAAACCTATATTTATGGTCGACTCTATAACATTGACTGAACACAATTCTTTGGTGTTAGAGAAAATTAAATCACTGCCACCGGTACTCAGATAAAAATCGCTTATTCCTACTGGCTTATATAAATGTTGAATGCATCCTTTAAGAGAAAAAATATCACCAATAAAACTAATTGATGATGCAGTCCACATACCTGCTCACACTTCCCTAGATTGTCCTTGTCGCCTGTGTAGCCCTAAACAGTCACAAAACAGAAATCAATAAAAAGAAATCCTTTTCTTCGAAAAGAAAATAGTGTGTGTGGATTAAATAGTGAAAATCATAGGTTGCATAATGATTGAGAAAATGAAGACTCGCCTTGAGAAGTTCCATCTCTTCTTTAGTAGGACAGAACTTTATAAGATTTTCTACTTGATCAGCATCTAAAATTGATTCATCCATTGAAAGTGCAGCAGCCTGTTGAAGTAATCACACACACGTTAAATGTAGACTTGGAAACAAACATGAATTTTTAAAGTAGAACCAAAGCTTGTAGGAGAAAAGAACCGTGCATATTGATTGGTACGAGAAAACAAGAAACAAGTTTTCATATAATTCTTAGAATATGCAAGACCCATATATCTTTAAATATGATCATAGATGAGGGGAACATGCTTCATGTGCTTTAAGGGCACTATTTTTGTGTGTTGACACATTTTCTAGTCATGTTGATAAACACGATTCATCAGTTTGGTCACAATACTACTATCTAGCATTTATTCCAGCAAATATAGAATTGAACTATGCACATAAATGGTTTGTGGGCAAAAGATATAATTTATATCATACCTAAATATTTGTCCATAACAGGTGGATAAAAATGAGCCTTAGTTTTTGCAAGGTTATATTATCGTCTACATCGTAATTAGTTGTGTGGTTTATTTTGATAACAGAAGTAGCTACTTCTACAGATGGTAGTGCATTTGGCGTGCACTAAACAAGACTATGTAAACTTTAATTTATCACTGGGATGGCTAAATTAATTAAATTTCACTTGATTGACAAGTAAAATCTTAATAGCAAGTAGGTAATGAACCTTGGTTCATAAACTGTGCTTGTAAGGCATTTATAAGTGAGAATACAACGTGGTCAGTACCTTTGATTTTTCAGGAGTGTGACTTTTGAATGTCACATTAGACATTTTGGATACTAAGATAAATTTGAAGCCTAAAATAATTAGAATTTACTAAATTCTTTTGTGATTGGATCACAAAATACTTTTTTCCAACCGAGAAAAATGCAACATAGAGAGATATAATTGGACACAAAAAATGTAATTGGAAACCATCTTCAGTTATGGACATTTGATGAGACTAGGGGTGTCAATTTGGCTCACCGGCTCGTGGCTCAGTTCGAGGCTCGAGCTGTACCCCATTTTGGGGCTTAGGCTTGAGCGTGAGCCACACCGGCTGACCCATGTCATGGGCCATTTTCGAAGCGTAATGAGCCGAGACTAAAAAGATAAAATAAAATAAAAAATGCAAAACTTTATATTAAAAAATTAATAACAAAAATTATTGGCAGCAGTAGTTGCCTTAACAAAGGCTGCTGCATCAGCTGCCTTAACCTGCAAGGCAGCTATCTTAAAAAAATAGAGCCAGCCGGGCCAGGCTGAAACGAAAGCTTGGGTCAAGCCTAAATTTTTTGGCTAAGCAAAAGCTCGGCTCAAACCAAAAAAGTCCGAACCATTTTTACTCGAGCTGTGCCCGAGCTTCAAGTTTCGAATCGGCTCGTCGACATTCCTAGATCAGACCCAATGCTGAACTTTTAACTGATTAAGGAATACATTATAAATTGACAAGGTAAAAGACTAGGCCATCTACATATAGGGGTTATAATATGGGAAAAAGTTATGTTAAGCTACAAATTATAACAAGAGGTGATAGCCAAGCATATATCACTGTTCTTGAACTGAGAGATAATCTCATATTTCAAATCCGTAATTGTTCAGTGGTCAATGAAATGACAGCACGTGCCATAATCATAAAATGAAGATCCTCTTTGGGAAAACAACTCAGAAGGGAAGAACAAGGCAGAATAAAATGCAATCCAGAACATTATTCGACTTTTTAAGAAATTATAAACTTCACTGCTGTCAAATTTTGGACTCTGGGCCTCAGTCAACCAATTTGCAAGTTTGTTTTCTCTAAATACAAAAATACCCAAGCCTTCCAATGAAGGTTGGTATTAATTTCCGGAATGGGTTGCTGTATGTGTCAAGGGCAGTATACATGCTACATACAAAACAACAAAAGAACTTGAAATATGTCAAACCATATGACTTATGGAAGAAAATTCAACCCATAATAACATGTGCAGTTTCTTTATACAAGTGTAACCCAATCTAGCTTAAAGATCAAAACAAACAAAAGGTTGGAAGTATGCACCATGTATAGCTTACCATCATGTCAGGAAGTGGCATTTTCACCTTTGTGAGCATGATTTCCGTATTATTAGCCCTTCTCAGGTCAATCTACAATAAGAATAGTGATCGAAATATGAAAAGAAATAAAAATCTTAATCAGTATTTCACCAACAAAATATCAAACTGTCTTCTAACTAATTAAAATAACCAAGTTGAATGCTACATCTGCTTTGAACTAACATTGGCACGAAACGAGAAAAATGCAAATCTACAGCGTAGTAAAATCAGAGAGCTCTATGCGGAGGATGCAGAAGAAAAAAAAATAAACAAAAGGAAACTTTCTCCTGAAGCTAATTGATAATTATTTATTTCAATTACAAAATCTAAAACTTTTGTCAAAAAATGAATGTGATCAACTGCATGCCAGGCACTTCCACTGTTTGTCTGTGTGATTATAAAACTTGAAGTGGTCTCAGTAACCTGATAACAAAAGAATTTGTCCTCTCCGTGATTACGAGGTCAAAGAACCAAAGCTTTACATTGTCGGTTTAGGTATCAGTAAGAAAGCATGCACTTTCTCAGTTTTGATCCTTGGATCTATAAAGTATTTCATGGTTCAATTTAATCAAAACCTAAGGGCAAGTCGATGTTAATCAGATGCTTAGCAGCCTGTAAGACAACCATTTAATGTGTGATCAAGTCTGCTATTGAAAAGCCCTTAATTCCAATAAATACAAAAATGAAAGATATTTCCGTCGATCATTTTACTTTTAAGTAAACAAAGCCAAAACTGATTTTTAATCTTCACCAAAGAAAAGATGCAACACTGTCTTTTAGCTGCTTTGTGAGCATGTATGCTGTCATGATCAACAAAAATACTTGTCAATGATGCTCTCTGTTATGATTTACAGAGAATACAAGAAATTTAACAATTTGCAAATTACACATCTGCCTTTTCCTTATTTTTCTAGAGGAGCCACTTTGGGCACAGGCCTATTGTAAGATGAAAATTAATAATAAGCACAAATCAGTTAGACAGGGTAAAAAAAAAGTATGGCCACACAGATAAGTTGAATGGCCTAGTTTTTATAATGCTTTGCAGATGATTAAATGCATAATAATCTCACTATGTAATCTCTTTTAAAGGAAAAGAGTTCCTAGAACAACTACACAATTCATAAATATTACCAGATGGACTTTGTCAGGTTTAGATCCAGCAGACTTCCGACGTCCTCCTGATTTGCCTCCAGAACTATCTGACTTGGGGACTGTGGCAGAGAAAAGAGTCTCTAGTTCTGACACATCAAATTCTGGTGCACTAGAAAAAAATTGAAAGTTTCAGCAATATATCAGAATCAAGAGGCAGTAACAAAACAAGAAATCAATTTCTACAGAGTCATGCACATAAAAGCATTTCAGAAAAGAGATAAACAACCTCGATCATATTGCTAAATATGATTAAATTAAACCATAGAAATGAAGAAATGCTACTTATGTAATTCTAAATCAACAAACTAAAACAGCAGAGCAAAAGGGCATACACTTGAGGTTCTCCATTTCTCTGCAATTCTTCCCACAAGCTTCCTTGTAATACCCTCGTTACCTTGCTCCAGTGTAGTGGCTTTAAGGTAGATCTTCGAGGTGCTGATGCAGTTGACATCCCGGGACGAGAAAGCCCACGCCCTCTACCAGCAATTGAGCCTCTCCCATCTGCCACAGATCCTTTAGCTCCTAAGGGAGGAGGCGGGGGAGGTCCCACACCTGGAGGTCTAGGCGGACCCAGTACACGGCCTCCAGGAGCGGGTGGTGGAGCTGGTGGTCCATGCATGGGAGGAGGTGGTGGAGGTGGAGCAGTGGCCCCACGGATAGGGGGAGCAGGCGGTGGTGGTGCTCCACGTTGAGGAGGTGGACCAGCAGGCAATGGAGGGGGTGGAGGTCGGGTTCCATGCATCGGAGGAGGGGGAGGTGGAGGTGGTGCTCCACGCATGAGGGGAGGTGGAGGTGGAGGTGGAGGTGGAGGTGGAGGTGGAGGTGGAGCTCTAGGCAATGGGAAAGTTGGAGGTGAAGCTCCATGCATGGGGGGTGGTGGAGGTGGTGCTCCAGGCAATGGGGAAGGTGGAAGTGGCGCTTCATCCATCGGATGTGGAGGTGGTGGAGCGCCACCACGCAAAATAGGCAGGGTAGGCTGCGCAACAGCATGAGGAGGAGGTGGGGGTGGGGGCGGCGGCGGTGGTGGTGTAGGTGGAGTGCAATGTGAAGGCAGAGAAACACCATGACTGATAGGAGATGGAGGCAGAGAAGAATTACCACGCATGGGAGGTGGAGGCGGAGGTGGAGGAGGAGGCAGAACTGGAGTTGGAGGCAGAGAGGGTTTTCCAACAGAAAGTGACCTTTGCGTGGAGAATGGAGGAAAGGGAAAATCTGATGCTGCAGAAGGTGCAGGACCAGAACTCTCAACTGACCACGGGGGTGGGGGAGGTGGAGGCAACAAAACTCTACTGATATTTTGAGACAGAGAAGAAATGGAAGATGGAGGTAGAGGAGGAGGTGGGCAAAAACTTCCCCGTGTGGTCAGTCCAGAGCTTGCAGACATAGGACGAGGAGGAGGTGGAGGTGGAGGTGGAGGTGGAGGTGGCGGCGGTGGCGGTGGCGGTGATTTAGTAGCATCTGCTCTGCCATAAGATCGTGGAGGGTCTGAATATGGTGGTCGTGAATAAGAAAAATTTGCATAATTAGTAGATGACTGTGGCGGCGGCGGCGATGGGGGTGGTGTGGAACAAGTAAATGCTGCATGAGTTGGTTGGTGTGGGGGCAGGGACGAGTGAAGATTGAGCAAATTCTGCTCTCCTACCTGTACAATTGGCTGGGTTGTTGAGGAAGACTCGTATAATGAAGAGCTAGACGAGGGTAGCAATGGAGGCGGAGAGGGAGGGGGAGATAGTGGAACTTGTTGACTCGGTTGAGGGCCATCAAGTTCCTGGACTCTACATTCCACCAGAGAACTTGGAGAAGAAGCTTTTCCAGTTGGTGCCGAGTCTAGTGATGATGAACAAGATTGATATTTTAATGGTGCCTCGCCCACTGCAGAAGTTTCATCCACCGTAATTGTAGCTTCAGAAGAACTAGCTGGTGAGGCCTTTGCTTTTACCCCAGGCTGGGAATCCTTGCCAAGAGCTATTGCAGCTGGAGCACCATTATATCTAGACGGTGGATATGACACGTGCATAGAATTTATATATGAACCTTTGTTAGAAGGAATCCACCGAGATACCGCATTTGGCTTTGCCAACCTTTGAAGAGTGCTTTGAGATTCTTGCGGTTTTGATTTTTGTTTAGTAACAACTGCATCTGTCTCAGGTTTGGAAGTGTAAACTGGTTGTTTCTTTGGGGATGTCAACAGTTCCTTCTCAGACTTTTGTCTATTACTGTCACCATTCGACTTTTGCTGTAAACCTTGCTTTTCTGTCATTTTTTTAATTGCAGAAGCATCTTCTTGGCTTTGTTTATCCTCCCCTTCCTCAGATTTTCCACATGGTGGTCCAGCTACATCTTTGATATCTGTACCACTGGCTACATCAGCAAGCTCCGCTCTAGAATATAACTGACCATTCCTATAGACCAAAGCATCTGTTGCAATCAGAAAATTTTTATTTGCATCACCCTTGCTGTTGTCTCTGTTATTCGCTTCATCTGAATTACAGTCCTGGAATGCATGATGATCCAAAACCTCTTTCCCATCTACTTCAAGGTTTCCATCATCCTGAATGGTAGCTTCAGTTGTTCGATTATCAAATTCTCCCTTCCCATATGACCCATCAACTACACTACTGAAGATCTCTTCTGCCTCAAAAAACTCATCTGGTGAAGCATCTGTTTCATTATCATCATCACTTACTGCTTCCTTGGGGATAATAGATGGAACAGACTCTGCATCAGAAAAGAGCACCTGATACAAATAGAGAATGTTTTTAACTCCTGAAGTTTTGGACAAATAAACTTTATAACATAGTGAAAACAATACCTAACCTCTGTTCTGAATTCCTTCGGGAACTGGTCCTTCACATCCCACAAAAGATCAACATCATCACGGGTCAGCATCAAAACATTTGATCGGATAAAAGCTGTATGGAACATAACTCTAAACATCATTTCTTCCCTCACTAAATCTTCATCCAAATGGATGCACTCGAGGACAACATCTCCTTGGACGCAGTGTTGAATATCTATTTTTACTAGAGCACATTCTTTCTGCAGTCAGGGATCATAAAACACTTCACAAGTCAGTTGATTCTCCGGTTTAAGTCTACATTTATAAATTATGAGATTACCTGTCTGTAGAGGCGGGCATGTTTTCTCTTTTTGGAAGTTGAAAACAGAAGCTTTGATGTTCTACTGGATACTTTTGAAGAAGGATCCTGACCATAGACACGAATTATTGGTCGGCATCCTCTTCCGCCATCAAAGAGAGGAAGAACTCTAAGTATTATACAATCCAAAGCCAGAGGAGTATCTGGTGGGGGCCAATCAGACCCAAAAGTTCTTCTAGAAATGTACTGAAGATATCTGAGCTGCGATGGTTGTGGATTCAATGGAGATAAAAGATGAAGAAGTTCCCTGGAAGCTTGCTTGTATACCATTTCGAGAGTCTTCAGCTCACCAGTGTACTGTTTTCTGTACAAAAGAAGGCCTGCAAGCATGAAGGCAAGGACAGGCCATCCTCCCCTTTCGCAGTGCATCAAGAGCACGTTCTGTTGACCCTCAAGCGATAACCAGCTCTCACTGGAACGCAAGAAGTGGTGGATCATCTCCAGCGGTAACAAAGGACACCCCTCATATTGCCGCGGGTAATCCATGACTGTCATATCGTACTGAGACAACACATCGGATATTTGACTTCTCCTTTCCCCCTCTTTAAAGTTAAAAACCATAAAAGCAGCATCGGGATAGTGATCCTGTAGCTGAGCTACAATGCCATTCATATATATTCTATATTCGTCTTCATCCAACACATCCGTGGAGAAGCAGCAATCAAACACTGCAAGCAGATCCAGTAATTGAAATAACCATGTGGCATGGTTAATGCTTATTTAGATTACTTAAATATCAAACACTTCATGTTCCAATATATACAAAGTCAACGTGTCACAAAAAAATTTACAAAGCCTGAAAAGCAGTTAACTATCTAGCAGCTCTTCTACTCAACTAAATTAAAGATCATAATTTTAGCTGTTTTACCAACGAAGAAGTTCTAATGCACCTCTCCCGAGTAACAAAATTAGATAAGAAAATTCACACAGTTACAGCAAATTCCATAATTAAGAGGAAAAAAATGACTTAATCAAAGACGCAAATTCGAGAACTATGTATGCATTTGCAAGGAAACTATCAAATTGATCAAAAGGAGCTGACGTAGAAAGCTTACCATAGACCCTCTCGGAGATCTCTAGAAGCCGATCCGGTGGCTTCCGATAAAAGAGGCGTCTGAACAGCGCCATCTAATGGCGCTGTTTTTTTCCTGATCCGATCCAAAACCCCACGTTCCAAATATCAATACAAAATGACTCTCTCTCAAAATTAATCTTCACTCATAGATCTTCAACAATTGAACATCACCTTGATAAATCCTTCAAAAATTACCAACAATTAACCGAATTTCAATTGAATTTAAAAATTTATTACAATAAAAGCAGAGGGTTTTGCATTGTGCCACAATTATTGAACAGTAAATAAAATGAAATCAATCCAACAGTGTGGAGGAAAAAGAAACGAAAGTCGTAGGAGGAGAAAGAGATATAGCAGAAGAAGTGACAGTAAAGAAGGAAATGAAATTCAGAGGTAAAGATTTTGTGAGTTTTAGGGTTTGTGAAAAAAATGCAGGGGATGGAAAAAGGGATGATTTTGATTGTTATGAAGAGAGTCAAATGTTATTACATTATTATAATTATTAATGTTAAATTAATAATAATTATCGAGAATATTGCAGTATTAACCTCAACCTATTACCCNTTTCTCATAATTAGGTGAAAGTGTGCAATATGAATCATAAATGATCGATCCCATTGTTTTACAGAAATAATCACATGAAGGGATAAAAAGTGGGACCCAGGGAACTGAAAAGATGAATTGTCGTCAGATGGATAGACCCGGCCCAGATAATTTACAGATAAGCCCCGACCCTATTCATTGGCTTATAAATGATTTGTGGTCTGAGATCTGTACACGTGGCATGTGTTGACATATAACTAACGCTAGCTTATGTTCGTGTTTTGTCCCTTTTGGGATGATTTTTAATTTATCCTTTTTAGCTTCTTTTTATTTTTTTTCCTAGATTCCAACATGACAAAAATGTGGGACAAATCATACTATTTTCACTTTCCATAATAGCCCACCTTCAACCTTGAGAAATGATATATATTAGTTATTAAGAAAAACAATTAACCTAAGCTCCTGTTCGATAAGAATTAAAATCAAATTTTTAATAAAATTTAATAAAATTTAATGAAATATATGGTTGAAAAGTTATGGAATCAATAAAATATGTGATTAAAAAGTAAATAAAAGTTATGAGTACAAAAAAAAAATTATTGGGCAAATATTTAATTGAAAATGAGTTTCAAAAATAGGGCTCAACGTATGTCATGCAGGTGGGGTATGCAATTTAGACAATATTTATAAAACAAAATAATCAGCAATGGGCAAATTGCTAATTAGTAGAAAGAGGAACAATCATTTAAACGTTTTAAAATGATATTCAACTTTACGACTAATTTGTAAAAATTTTACATTTTTTATTTTGTTCAACACTACGTTTGATATATAAAACTTGTTGGTAAAATAATTCTTTGAAGAATATAATCATTAATTATCGATAGTGAACCATAAATAATGACATTAACCTAAGCAATTGTTGTAATTGAAGTTAGGTTCTGACGACAATTGTTAATCGGTAATTAGTTGAATTGGATTATCATTTTTGAACGACAAACGGAAAGAGAATAGAAATAATGAAATATCAAGAAAAAGACGTAATTAAGGAGATGGCACTTTTTAGGGGCTATTGTGATTGAAATGATTGTTTCCATTGTCGTACAGAACCAATCACATGGGGGAGAAAAAGAGACTACATCCATCCAGAAACGACAATTATTAGTCCCGATAAAATTTTAAAAAAAAAAAATGGGACAATACTATACGTACCGAATTTTTTGCTTACTACTCACGACAAGGGTGAGGACCACGGGCCTATATTTTTAAATTCACGTGGAGCCCGCCTTACATTGTGAGAGGAGAGACATCATTCGATACCCCATTATATACAAATGGAATTTTCCAATAAAAATTGAGACTTACTGAATCAGGGTACAATTTTTATGTGGTATTAGATTGTAAAGAGTATTATTATAATTATATTATATCCTTTCTGATGTTGTTTAAAATTTTGCTAAAAGTTTAAATTTACACATTTTATATGATTCACAAATTTTCAACTTCACATTTCGTCAATTTATATAAAAAATTTAGTAATTTGCTAAAAATCTAATTTTTAATTGCATCAAACAAGTGATATATGTTAAATCGATGAAAGTTGCACATTGTCATGTAGGTAATGGTGCAAAGGGTACAACACAAAGCAATTTAAGTCAACGATTGTGCGTGTTTTCTTTCAAGCACGATGCTTGAGCTATTAGCATTATCGTTTATAGAGTTTACGTGCGGATCACAATCACATTCAACACCAAACAAAGTCGTTTCTGAATATTTTTTTATCGCATGTTTTATTTTCAAAGAAATATTACCTTGTCCAAACCAGTAATGCACAACTTAAACATAGAGATGGGTTGTGTTGCATTCTGGGTTCACATGACTAATGACAATCTCGACCAGTTTTACATGTCAAAAATAATGGGGCTCGCCTGGTCCATTTCGTTTTGTTCTGTCTAATCCTCTTAATTTTTTTGTAAGCAACTTGGATCTATATTGGTTGTATCCATGGACCATGGTGGCCTATGAATATGACAACAAAAATTAAATAATTAAATTTTGATTTAATCATATAACAAACATACACAAAAAGTTAGAGGGGGAGTTTGGTGAGTGAGTATGTGACAAGGAAGTGACGCTTTCTTGAATGCTTGTGTTATAACTTAAAGCCAACAGAGATTTAATGAGATGGACCCGTTCATATTTTTTTCTCTCTACTTCTTTCGTAAGAAATAGGAATTTTCCTTGAAAGTTGAAACTGTATTCGCTTATCTTCCTTGAGAATATTTTCTAAAGTTAGTATATCTAATACTTCTTTTGTATCCTAAAAAGAAATAAATTTATTTCTGTTGACACATAAAAATTCAGCCCAAATCAAACGGTTCAGGGAATGAAACCCAATTGGAGGGTCCCCAAATCAGATAGCCCAAAGAACGAAGTCCAATCAAACAATTCAAGACGAAGGCCCAAGAACGCGGTAACGCCATCGCCCAAATTTGCAAGTCGCCCAGAATCTGAGCGAATGGAGTGTCATGCAGTCGCCCAGAGCTGTTACTCTATTCTCGCCCAAACCTTCAAATAGCCCAAGGTCTTAACAAACATAAAGTGTTGTGGTTATCAAGAAGTGCAGTTATTAAAGCAGCCCTATCACGTTCCACGATTCAAGGAATTCAATCGAAAATGGTTGAACGACGAAGAGTAATGGTAGCAGTTAAAAAAGGCAGTTTCATGACAAGTTGGTCATTACGAGGAAAGTGGGCAGTTGTAGAACGATCAAACAGTTTTTAGGCGGTTGATCACAAAGAGATCATTCATGAAGTATAAAAGGGAGAAAAGACATAGAGCAAAAGACCGAATCAAAAACTCTCGAACAGAGAACATGTAATTTTAAATTCCTTAACTTAGATTTAAACACTTTTTTCAGTAACTCGTGTGCTTGCGCCCCTTGGAGGCATTTTGTTTTTAATTTCCAATTGTAAGGTCATCGCCAATAAAAGAACACCCATTTTTGGAACTTTGTCTCAAGAGATTTGTCCCTTACACAATCGTCTGATCTCTTTTAATTGTTATTAACTAACCTGCACGAAACAATTTCCATTTCCAAAAATTATTTAAATTTTTTATTTTTAGTTTAAAATTAATCTAGTGACACTTGAAAGGTGTCTAAATTTGTAACATTATTCTTATTTATCACTTTTAAACCTAAAAACTGTTGACACATAAAAATTCAGCTCAGATCGAACAGCCCAGAGAGTAAAGCCCAATTGGAGGATCCCCAAATCAGATAGCCCAAAGAACGAAATCCAATTGAACGAATCAAGGTGAATGCCCAAATAAGGGGCCCAATAGTGCTGTAACGCCATCGCCCAAGTTTGCAAGTCCCTCAGAATCTGAACGAATAGAGTGGCATACAGTCGCCCAGAGTCTCGCCCAAATCTTCAAGTCGCCCAAGGTATCAACAAACATAACGCATTATGATTATCAAGAAATGCAGTTATTGAGGCAGTTGCTAAAATAACCTTATCACGTTCCACGACTCAAGGGGTTCAATCGAAAGCGGTTGAACGATGCAAGATAATGGCAGCAGTTAAAAGGACAGTTTCATGACAAAATGGCCACTACAAAGAAAGTGGGTAGTTATAGGGCAATCAAGCAGTTTTTTAGAGCAGTTAATCACAAAGGGATCGCCTATGAAGTATAAAAGGGAGAAAGAACTTAGAAGCAAATGACCAAATCCAAAACTCTCGAACAGAGAATATGTAATTTTCATTCCTTTAGCTTTTAGACTTAAACACTTCCTTTTCTGTAACTCGTGTGCTTGCGCCCCTTGGAGGCACGTTGTTTTCCGTTTCCAATTGTAAAATTCATCGCCAATAAAAAGAACACCCCTTTTTGGGACTTTGTCTCAAGAGGTTTCGTCCCTTACACAATCGTCTGATCCTCTTTAATTGTTAGCGAATTAACACGCGCGAAACAAAAACATAAAATATCTTGGGGAACACCTTTTTCCCGTCGAAAATCAATAAAGAATTTTTTTCTAAAGATACAGATTTTATTTAACAAAATTAATACAAGAATGGCTGCTGTCTTTCTTGTATTAATTTTGTTAAAAGATTCTTTCTTCAAATGGACTCTTGGTCTACATATAATAAATGTTTGTTTGCCTCCTAATCAATGTCTCAATTAACTTGCTGTACTATACATTGATAAATGTTCAACTGTTAGCCTCCACCTAATTAATGCGTGCAAAAAATAATTCTTCTATTATAAATATGAATTATGAACTCATATCACCATCTATTAAACTACGTTGTATGACCAGACAATAGAGTCAAAAAAGAATAATTAAATTTAACAATAACATTGTTTAAGCATTTTTATATGTCAAACAACGTAAAGACGTTTTAGAAAACTCGACTAAAAAACGATGAAGAAAATTATAAAAAAGAATAATCATATAATCGAATATTTTTAATTGTCTTCTTAGAAAAAAACGTTTAGTACTTTCGAAATATTAAAGTATGTTATACTCTTTGCTACTATTTAATTGACGTGTGTATTAAATATTGGGACTCGATTTTTAATTAAGACTCAAAACATATAAATGTTAATTAAATGAATAGTGTAATCTTGCCCGTGCTGTAACACCATCATATGTTTCATTGGCTGATAGACTCGATTTAATGTAGGGAATGGATGACTAACTGCACATAGTGGCACCAATGGTGCTAAAAATTAATACAGCATTACTTCTATTAAATAATAGTAGCCCACACTAATTTTCATACTCTATAAGTGCTATAAATCTTTTAATTTATTGTCTAATGCATTAAAATTTAAAAAGTATCAAAACTCAGTTGGACAATAATCTGCCAGTAAATTGCTAATAATTATAATTAATGATGAATAATATTACTTAAATAAAATTGAATAAA